TTAATGCCTGTCTTAAACACTAATGCTTTAATGACAACGCGTTTTGTATGTTGTAGGTACATATCGCGTACACAGCCTTCGTCAGTAAGGCACCATTCTCATATGATATGACACACCCAATGAGCAACACTTCACATCTATCCAGTGAGGGCATTGACACTACACGCATAACTATAAAATTTTCACACAAACACATCCGCAAGTTTAACAGCGGAGGAGTCCTTGAACGACCACCGACGCCTTTAGTTTCAACAAAACTGGGTTTACAAATCATTATAGTGTTGCTTTTATATAGGTAACCTTAAGCCTGGCCCTATGGCTATTGGCCTAGGGTTAAACGATACACTTTTAAGGCCCGGTATCTCCTTCGCTCACCCCCAGGTCACACACAGAGAATGTATTGTTTTCAAAGATAAACTTCGCTTGCTGCTTGTTTTTATATCGGCACTTGTTACGGGGTCATTGTATGTTAATTGCATGACTTTGTTGACATTCGGGATGTTATGGCGACACAACACAGCGACACGGTAGCATTAAGGCAACCTGAGATGGCGGGTGGGTAGTGTTGGTAGTATTGTAGTGGGTAGTTTTTAATGAAGAAATTACCTTGGAAAAGTGGAATTAGGACATCCGTAGCCTAGAGACCTCACAACAAAGATATGAAAAGAAAAAATCCGAACCAAGCTAGACACTGTGCAGTGCACGCCTCTCGAATAGTCACTAAGCTTCGCTCTTAGCAGCTAGCTAGGCTCATTGTAAGTGTGGCTTAGTTTTATTTTTTTAAAGTTGATGTCAAAGAATGCAGGACAAATGTTCAATGATCCTTTCGTCAGTAAGACGGTAAGTATTGTTGGGGAAAAATACAAGGGAGAGCCAGCCGCTGGAAACGCTGCTAGCACAATGATCACAATAGGATTGTTCTCTCCAGAGTAAAAAATAGACGTAAAAATCTTTTATCGTGTACAGGCCAAGAAATTAGTATGGACAACTGTTGAGGCACGGAAAACTGCTGCGCCAGCTGTCTTCGCGATTGGTATGCCGGCGTATTGCAGGGATGGTTCACTTAGGGCAGGGACGGGCAAATTACGGCCGCGGGCCTCCTCACCGACCCTCGGATGGTTGAAGTCCGCAACCATTAAACAAAAATCAAAGGTAGACCAGAAGTACCATTTTTCACAGGTTCCGAAAAGGGCCACCCCGCAGCCAAACCTGGTACTATCGCGGAATTTTGCGCTCTGTCACTTGGCGATCAAAATGCTTTGAACGGTTTTCTACAGTAGTTTTTACTACGCCCCGCCTTCGCGTCGGACGCGCCAATCCGGGCCGCCGCACAAAAGTAAGACAGAGAGCATTTCATTGATTGAATAATGAATTGTATTGCATTTGTTTTAGTTGCAATTTGTCATCCGCATCGTGATCGCGACAGCGCTATACGAAAAAGTAAGACAGCGATATTTACATGTCAATGAATGAATTTTTACTACGCCGCTACCGCAGGCGATTATGGCATTATGGGTGACAGAGCGGGTCTTTCCGCGAGTGTACCTACCTACCTATTTACTTTGCAACAAACTCATTTACGTATTTCCTTTTTTTTTAATTAAGCAGGCAAAACCTCTATTTACAGAAGTTGGCGCCCTTAAGGGGCACACCAACGAACGGACCTCACACCTAGCCTCTCGCAAGTCTCACGGGTGCGAAGTGGAAAAGCCGTTAAGCACTCCGCGCGGCTTATGGGCGCTTGCGGCACACTATCCGCTAAAAAACCCTGCAAATACCCTCTAAGCTGTTAAGTGCGGAACCACGAGATCCCCGTTGACGGACTTCGCCGCTTTTCCGCACCCAACAGCCTCCCGGCCTAGCCGGGGCTCCACGGCAGGGATCACCCGGGGTATCGCGGGTGATCCCGCAGACGTGCGCCGGACTGCCCGCGCTAGGAGCTAAGTGCGCGGCCTATTGCCCACCGCACCGCTCCCGGTCCGCTGCGGAAGGATTGCCTACGCATTCCCCTCGCAGGCCATTCCCTCTCATTTAGGACAGAACTACAAGAGAGGGCTGCCGTCACGGAATCCATTGGTGACCGGCATGGCTAACGCCTTACCGGGCAGCTAGGGATTTGCTCAGGTGGGGGGGGGGGGGGTCACTGGGCAGGTCACGTTTTCCCCTTCCCCTTCCTGTTCTTCTACGGCGGCAGGGAGCGGGCAGAGGATTATCCTCCCGTGCGAGATAACGCCGTCGCAGAATGAGACGGCTGCCCCCCAAGCCGTCCCGCTGTTGAGTATGGCCTCGAACATGCTCCACAGCGAGAGGATTCCGCATCCTAGCGCCGCAATTAACTCGCGGCGCTGTCGTTGCCAGGCCGAGCACTCCAATAAGATGTGTTCGGCCGAATCATCGGAAGCGTCGCAGTGGTGGCCCTGCGGCGTCTCCTCCCGACGGGCAACCCGGTGCAGATAGTGACCGAAACACCCATGTCCGGTCAGGTCAGTCGAAGGGCCTCTATGGTCCAGTGGCTAGCATCAGCATGGGCGAGTGACTCGCACAAGGGGCGCAGAGCTTCTCTCTGCGGGATGGAACGGACCCACCGCAGTTCCGCTGCAGCTAGTCGCTCCCCTTGCTCTCTAGCTTCGACCCGTTTTCGATGCACGTCTGCCAAGACTTGTGCATCGAGATCCCACACCTGCGAGTACGCAGGCCATGGCTGACCGTGCGATATGCTCGCACGGCCCGGGTTGCGATGACCCTCTGCGCACGCAGGGCTACTGTGCGGGGCTTGAGACACCCAGCCCAAACGGGGGCACCGTATAGTGCCATCGACTGTATTACACCGTGATACAGCCGACAGCACGTCGCCCCTGGGCCCCCCACATTGGGAAGGACCCTTCCGAGTGCGGCTGCAGCGGCACACAACCGCTGAGCTGCAGCGTGAGGGGCATTCGTTAGTAGCAAAGGCAAGAAAAATAAATATTGGCACGATAAGAATAAAGCTTGCCCATCCCTGACTTAGGGTCTACTAAGAGTGTATGCCAAATTAATTTCTGAGTAACAAGATGCTACCAGATGGAGGGAACCCGTCCACTTAACATCAGTTGGGATGGAGTCTTTACTCGATCTAACTATTATAAGAAGGCTCAACAAATCTAACTCCTCTCCGTCTTCTTCAGATTGATACAAAATACGTTGTTGCGCTACAGAAACGTGCCGTGTTAGCCAAAGAGCTTACTTAAGCCATCAGGATATTCCTATCTCCTCCTTTTCTACTGCTACTCTTTTTCTCTGGCTTTAAGTGATTGCGCGATTGTATTTGGTCGTTAGCCCGAATACTAGTGCCAATGGAATTCAGGTAAACGAAAAAGTGTAAACGAACGGGAGTCGAGTACGCTCGTATTCGGGTAGATTTCATTTTCTTTAACCCGGCACAGACTCAGCCCGTATTCCAGTATAAATATTGCTTGGGGTGCCCGAATGCCCAAACCCGAATACGAACTAATGACCAAATAAAATTGCGGCATTATTTGATAACAGTATTGATAAAATTGCTCTTTTTAATAATGGCAAATTCCTAAGGCAATATTTCCCGCCTGAGCGGAGGGTGAAGTGATTATCGGTACCTACCTAGTACCTATTAAATAAACAATAACCTTCCTGTTCTAGTCGTATCTTAATAGTTTTATTTTCGATTTCATCTCAATTGTGAATTAAGAGAGCGAAGAGAATTTACTGTTGAGTATGTAACATAATATTTTGTTCTAAAATAGTTTTCATGTTAATTTCATCGGTAGGGCGCCATCTATGAACGTTAGAATGAACTACAATGTACAGATTTTAACGCCATCTATAACAACTCAATGAGAAGTTTAAAGTAATTGATGCCGTAGTAATTTTTATATAATATTGAATTAGATGTCGCTCTCTGTGGGCCTATTAAAGCTTTGTTACAAAGTTATTTTTAAGACTATAATAACAGCATAGAAACGGAATCAGATTATCCTTACCTTTTAATGTGGGTTGATTATTTAAAATTGGCCATATATGTTTCAATTTATAACGGAATAGTAGATTTTTTTTATGGAATGCTTGCGCTGCGCACTCGCGAGTGCGCTGTGCACTCGCGACTCGCAATATCGAATTCGAATAGTTTGCAAACCGAAATGTCAATCGAAAATACATAACGAGAACTAAAAATCAGTAATACACATTTGACAATGACATTTCGGACTCGCAAACGATACGAATTCGATATTGGTTCGTGCTAGGGGTACTGATTTTTAGTTCTCGTTACGTACTTTGTGCCGCTGCTGTTCAAGTTTCCATACAAAATTTTACATTGACATTTCGGATTGCAAACTATTCGAATTCGAAAATGGTTCGTGCTAGGGGTACAGATTACAGAACAAAAGGCATATGGAGCGCACGGAACACGCAATGCGTGGCATCATAGCAAATATGAAGTCAAAAGCGCCTATCAATTGGCGTCAGTACACCACAAGGCATCGTGTTGAAAATACGTCCCGTGAATATTAAGTTTTTATCAAAACTGTGCCGCCTTTTTCATACTTAATAAAAACTGTTCACAAAGACAAACAAAGCATTTACTTTTGACTTCGTATTTGCTTTGGTGGCACGCATTGCGTGTACCGTGTGCTCCATCTGCCTTTTATTCTGTAATCTGAGAATGCAAGATTTAAAATCTGAGTTTCTGGTAATTTTGTTATGTTTCAGACAGCAGTCTGTATAATAAATAACATTGGTGGCGATTCTGGCATGATTCTCTAAACCTAAACTTAAAATTGACAACAGTGTATCCTTTGCTTTCTCTGTACAGAATAAAAAGGAGAGACTGATGTTAAATTTAGTTTTAAGTTTAGAGAATCACGCCAGAATCGACCCCATTTTCAATGCGATGGTAGGTGGTGGCGCTATTGGGCAAAGCACACGGTAAATTATTGTGCGAAATCGGTGAATTTTCTATGCTGGTTTAAAAAAACTACCACGAAATTATTTCCACAGTTTTAATCATGACATTACATTTACACTTCTATCTGACTCCAAATAACAAAACGTCAGAACAAAACAAAAACAAATAATTACTAAATACAAAAAAAAACAAAATGCAGACTTTTAATGTCAATGTGTAGATTAAAAAAAAATATCTAAATACATATCCTAATTTTAAGACTAAATGTCATTGAGAGAAATTTACACTAATTTACTACGAAAGAACCACCGCGAAATTCAGATTATGAAATATATAATAACATTCTTAGATATATCAAACAATAGTACATCTTTGAAGTTACATTTAATTCTCAATGAATATCCATTGAGATGTTTAGCTTAAATGCAATGTGTTTATCAATAAATCCACAGATAGCTCAAAACTAGGCATCAGTTAGTTATCTACATCAATCATAACTTATTTCATTAACTGTACAGACAGATCAAGCAATCATTTTATTATTAACTCCATTCAAGAGTATTTCATAATTTCAAAAATACTCCATAACCTGGAGATCAAAGTACGATAATAGTACAATTCGTTTAACCATATCGTACCCCCATAGTTTCTAATATAATAATATAATTAAACTTGTGACATGATAAAAAAAATAAAATTTATCTAAAAAAAATACTGGTCATACATAAAGAATTAAATTTCCAATCATTAATAATAATAAAAAAATATAACAAACAAAGGTTAAAACTATTATCACTTTGTGAATTAAAGTCACGAGTGACGTTTTGTCTACTAGACAACTAGGAAAACAGTTAAAACTCCACCAGGGATTTATAAAAAAAACATATGTCATTTTGTGGACAAGTTATCCTTGCACATTACTATTCTGTCACGTCATATTCTAGTGCCATATTTTATACATCCCTAGTGTCATTGTAATGTGTAAATAATGATACTTAAGGTACACAACATAATATTATCATCACAATTTTATTTATAAACGATGAACAATCTTTTCTTTTACCAATTAATAAGAAAACTTACTATCAAATAGTTAATAACATAATTTTGACGTTAAATTTGACTACTCAGACGTCATTATTAATACTATTCATAATGTGTGTACATTTCTTATGAAAACACATACACATACTAACTCACAAGCTTCACACAATCACATAACATTACTTAAATTCAAGTCAGTTTTATCTTTAAAGTCAAGTGTTATAAGAATAATTTGTTTTATTTTCCACTTAAAAATATCCAAAAAGTTCTTACAAAACAAAAATGTAAATATACATTGATTATACGTATTTTTTCTGAAGAATATATCTGAGTATAATTTAAAAGTTAATTTGGATCTATAATTTCAGCTACTAAAATTTATTTTATTTTATATTCTTTTTATATTAATGACAAAGGGATTTTTGTCTTTGAATGACATTACGATATTGTTGTACTATTGAAAATGCTTTTACTTAGCACCTATATAGAATATATAGCTGCCGCTTAAATCTAAAATCCTTTATAATTATAACTTTAACACAACTTAACTACTCATACTTATAGGTACCTATATTATGGTTTTCATGATTTGACATGATCCTTAGAGTTAGACTTACCTACTTTAATTACAACAAGATTTACTATAACTTTTAAAATTCTTTGATACAAATATGTTTTACCAAATGATGTAACAGACATCACATTATTATTAGTTGAAATGTCTAGAATCGTAACCCATATGTTGTCTGCATCATATAGATTATATTCATTATGTTAATATAAAACTTTTAAAAAAGATCCAGGTCTCATTTAGTAATATAATATAGGGAATGTTCTCTTTTAAAGGAACTTCATTGGAACCACAACATGATTGATTGAATTTTCTTAGTTCCAGTTGCCTTGCCAGTTGCAATACCCGATATACTGTGTGTCTATGACTATTTGTAAACATTTCATAGTATAGCATTATATTGTATCAAATGTTTGTATTAAATTAAATTAAATGCTGAGGTTTCAACATAAATTGCAATGTATTTAAATGTCACATTTGTGGCCGTTTGTAAATCTTCAAAGTTAGATCTGGTGTTGTCTCCATATTGTAACAAATGTTGTATTAAAACTAGTCCAATTTCTTTGCAAAATATGTAATTTAGCCTTAAAAGTTTTAAGGAAACGACAATAAATATTAATTAATTGTGTATACATTGTCTTAATTAATATACCTGAAAGAGGGTTTTCATGCCTCATATCAGATCTAGATTAAACAAAGAAATCGAACTAGTGGTATACTACACTTTTTTAGATAAGAATCATAACTTTGAAATTAGCCCCGACAGCGAGACTTACATTTTTATTCTAATAGTAAAGTGTCATTTCCTAGTTTCTGTAAATATTCACTACCGGTTAGTTTCCTTCAGCACAATTCGCTCTCCCATTCGGACATAACACTTCACTGCCACTTTTGATTAACACTAAATACACCTAAAGCGTCCCGATCGCTTTCACCTCAAGTGTCAATTTTCACGTATTATGAGGTACTTTCTAAAGTCCCAGGATCATTCTTGCTCCGTGAAGGCAAACGAGAACTTCGCGTGACCGTTGGGGTCGACGATTTTGGCCTCGATAAGGCACTGGTTGACCCAGTGCGTGGACACCAATGGGATATTGTCTTGATTCGCCTTGTTCTGGACCTGGAAATAGTAAAAAGAATTTCTCTATACAAGGTGAATCGCACTATATATAATTATAGCGTAATTACATTTGGTCCTTAGCCCGTATTCGGGTATACGAATGACATTACTCGAACTAGACTCCGTTCATTTAGACTTAGTCGTTTACCCGAATTCCATTTGCAATCGTATTCGAGCTAGCGACAAGTGTATTCGATCCATTGGTACGATTCAAACTTAAGTGTTTCACAGACAGACGCGGCCTACGACCGCGGCCGGGGTGTCAAGAAGTTGTATTCGCTTGTAATGTAAGCGAGTGGTCAAACACTAGCGACCGATATGGACAGGCAGGCATAGGCCTACAGGTAAGGTTCATTGTGTCTCTGCTGTGAGTGAAGATTGGCAGAACGATGGGGCGACACATTATACAGATAATGATGTACAATACAGTACCTCGTGGGGGCAGTCGAGTTCGGTGACTACAACTAGTATGTGTGATGATGATGATGATGATGTACACTCGCGGAAAGACCCGCTCTGTCACCTATAATGCCATAATCGCTTGCGGTAGCGGCGTTTTAAATATTCATTCATAGACATGTAATTATCGTTGTCTTACTTTTTCGTATAGCGCTGTCGCGATCACGATGCAGATGACAAATTGCAACTAAAACAAATGCAATTCAATTCATTATTCAATCAATGAAATGCTCTCTGTCTTACTTTTGTGCGGCGGCCCGGATTGGCGCGACGGCGCGAAGGCGAGGCGTAGTAAAAACTACTGCAGAAAACCGTTCAAAACATTTTGTTCGCCAAGTGACAGAGCGCAAAATTCCGCGATAGTACAATACAGTACCTCGTGGGGGCAGTCGAGTTCGGTGACTACAACTAGTATGTGTGATGATGATAATGATGTACAATACAGTACCTCGTGGGGGCAGTCGAGTTCGGTGACTACAACTAGTATGTGTGATGATGATAATGATGTACAATACAGTACCTCGTGGGGGCAGTCGAGTTCGGTAACTACAACTAGTATGTGTGATGATGATAATGATGTACAATACAGTACCTCGTGGGGGCAGTCGAGTTCGGTGACTACCACTAGTATGTGTGATGATGATAATGATGTACAATACAGTACCTCGTGGGGGCAGTCGAGTTCGGTGACTACCACTAAAGCCCCGGTCATGTTCAAGTCATCCTCGTTGACGACACGCGTGTTGGCACCTGCTAGGGTACACACGCGGTCCCAGAATTTGAGGAACGTGTCCTGATCGCTGCAAAGGAGGATCAGCTTGTCCTTGAAGATGGACGTGTTTCGTTTGCCTGACGATGGCACCTGCGGTAGACGTTAAGTTTATAGTTAGGATTATCAGAAGAAGAAGCCAGAAGTTGTCTGCCACAACAAGCACGACACTTTGCTGTCTTAAAACCTGATAGTGTTACAACTAAGCTACGCACTGTTTTCAATGCCAGTGCAAAAAAAACATCCTCAAGATTATCACTTAATGATATATTATATGAAGGTCGAAACATACATAATGACTTATTTGAAATTATTATCAGATTTAGATTGTATAAATATGCATTTGCATGTGGTATAGCTAAAATGTTATGAGGTATTTTTATAAATCCTCAACAAACTAAACTCCAATGAATATTATGGAGAGATTCTCCTACAGAGAAACTTCAGTGTATCGAATTAGACACAGTTACATATGGCACCAAGTGTGCACTTTATTTAGCATGTCGCACAATATTTAGCTGATAAATATGCAAACTCACATAGTTTTGCCGCTAAATGTATTATAAATAATTCTTATATGGACGATTACTTGTGTGGAGAAATGTCAAAGGAAAAGCTTTTTTAATTGTGCTCAGAACTTATCGATTTATTGAGTAAAGCAGGATTAAAATTGCATAAATGGACATCTAATTATCCAGATTTATATACTTATATATCAAACTTAGATTATGTGAACATATTGACATTTATATTAGGCCTTACAACTTACAAACTCTGTGAAAACCTACATATGAAATGGTTACCTACTGAAGACAGTTCTAATCTTTATACCAGCTCTTGCTAGTGTGCCTTGTATAAAGAGAAATATTTAATCTCAGATAGCTCAAATTTTTGACCCTTTGGGAGTCTTAGCACCTGTGACTATATTAGCTAAAATTTTAATACAAAATATTTGGAAACAAAATACTAATTGGGACTTATTGTTTTACAAGAGATACAAAATACTTGGCAGAATTTGGTTAATCAATTACAATACAATACAAAACACTTTATTGAACACCACAGAATACATTACAATAAATACAGAGCCATTTAAATTAAGTGTTACAATGGGCGGCCTTATCGCTAAAAGCGATCTCTTCCAGAAACCTTTGGATGGAGAGGATTAGGAGGAAGTGGGAGAGACGGCGGCGTAAATTTCAATGTAATTTATTAATATATACATATACATACACAAACAAATACACATATATTTTATATTTATAAATATATATACATAAATATATATATATATATATATATATATATATATATATATATATACGTATAAACATATACATACATAAATCTAGTCCAGTCGGTAGAAACTACAAAAGAGATTATAAAACAAAAAAAAAAAAGAAACATTACAAAGACAAATAGTGAGATTTCACGAGAATCTTAAAAATGTGAATCGATTCCGCACTTCGTATCGAAACTGGGATAGAATTCCACAGCTGAACGGCTCGAACTGTAAATGAGTGACTGTAAAAAGTTGTACTGTGTACAGGAGTCATGAGGGTAAGATTCTCTGATGACCTAAGAGATAACGTGTTAGAAGTGTGAAGGAAATTAAAACATTCCTTAAGATAGCGCGGGGACTTAGGATTGAACAATATGTTGTAGAGAAGAGTAAGAATGTGAGTATTCCGGTGAAGGCGAATAGGTAGCCACTTGAGCTGCGAACGAAATTGAGAAACGTGATCATATTTGCGCAAACCAAATATGAAGCGAATACAAAAGTTTTGAAGTCGCTCAAGCTTATTAAGTTGTTCTTCTGTGAGATCAAGATAACAGACGTCAGCGTAATCAAGAATAGGAAGCAGTAATGACTGTGCTAAGGTAATTTTGGTGGTGACGGGTAGGAAATTACGTAGTCTCCTAAGAGACGCTGCCGAAGCAAATAGTTTGCGACTGACCACTTGCATTTGTGGGCCCCAACTCAAATAAGTGTCGATCGTCAACCCCAAGTTTTTAACCGATGTGCTAAATGAAATATTATTACCAGCCAGTTCGATGCTGGGTAGTGACTTCCAATCGATTCTGTCTATCATCCTAGAACTACCTATTATTATGCTGGTTGTCTTAGTGGGATTCAAGTCCAAACCAAAAGATTTACTCCACTCTGTAATTACATGGAGATCACTATTAGTGGCTCGCACCGCGTCCTCAAGTTGACCAAGAGGTGCTTGGCGATAAATTTGAAGATCATCTGCATATAGGTGGTAGGAAGAAGAAATATTGTTTGAAACAGAGTTGATTAATACAGCGAAAAGAAGAGGAGATAAGACGCCGCCTTGCGGAACACCGGCAGTCGTATCGCTCCATGAAGAAAATTTCTCTTCGAGACGAACACGCTGCCTGCGCCCATACAGATAACTGTGAAGCCACTCAATCACTGATGGAGATACGTTAAGAGAGCGCAGCAATGCATTACATTATTTAAGAAAAAATAAAATACCTAGATATTATTTTTCAGACCATACAAACAATATAATTTTAACAGTTAATTAATAATAAGTAATAATTTTTGTGATGCTTCAATTAAAGCCTATGGCGCTTGTTTATATCTAAGGGCTACTTACCCTAACAAGAAAACTACTTGTACTTAGTTACAGCAAATCCCTAGATTAGTATTAAGTGGGTCACTTCTTTTGGCTCAACTTACAAGTAGATTTATCGTCTCTACAAAAAATATTACAGTTCTTAATAAAATACATCTTTTAACAGACTCATCTATTGTACTCAACTGGATTAAATCACCATACAAATATAAACTTGATACTTTTGTTACACACCGCCTCACACAAATTATAGACACTACCAAAAGCAATGATTGGTATTACATCAACATAAAACAAAATCCAGCTGACTTAATTACCCGTGGAGTCATGCCTACTGCCTTGTAATCATCGACTTTATGGTGGCAGGAACCATCATGGTTGTGTCAAGATATCACCTCATGGCCCATACAAACTCCACAGTCTATTGAGGTCATTCAAAATGCACAGTCAATCAAAAGAAACCATACATAATTAAAGTAGTGCGATAATTGCTTCTAAAACATCTTATATAATTTGTTTTATAAATACTTTTCTAAAAATTCAAATTTCACAAAATTAATCAGGTCTATTGCCTATTTATTTAAATTCATAAATAACATAAAAGATAAAAATTATAAACTAACTTCATATCTTTCCATTCGTGAGCTTAAAAAAGCCCATGACTTTATAATAAAAATATATCAGTATAATTCATTTTCGAAGGAAATTCATGAAATACAGTACATTCATTCAAATTCTTCTCAAGTTACACAAACAGACTCATTCAACCACACTCATATTCAACAGACAAGCACATTCAAATCAAAGTTATACACATTGACAGACAGATGTAAACTTAGAAAATTGAATCCCTTCTTAGATGAATTTAATCTTCTAAGAGTAGGAGGCCATATACAAAACTGAGGTATACCATACAATCAAGCTTACCCTATTATACTACCTGCTAAAGACCACATAACATCTAATATAGTACAACAACTATCATATCAAATTATTACATGCAGGCATTCAAAGTACCCTGTACAATCCCCCCACGACAACGGCTAACCAGAGCCGAGGTCCGAGTCTCAGAGACGCCCTCTAGTTGAGCCGACCCCCTCAGGTTTGAGTGGTCTGGAGGCTGCAGACGGAGAGGAGACCTCCCCCTTGGGGAGATGCCATCCGCCTGGAATACCACCAGAGGCACTCGCCAATTCTCGGCTTGAGGTCCCCTTAGGATCTCGCCGTCCCCAAACCCGGTGACGCTGTAAAGGTCATCTGCGACCAATAACATACACACTCAAAAAAAAACCCCTGTATAACATAAAGACTAAAATACTGGCCTATCAACGGCAGAAGTGAGGTGAAAAAATGTATTCACTCATGTGTTAGGTACCGGGGTGAAGTCTGTGGACAGCAGATGACAAGTCTTCCTGCACCAAGAGTTAATCTAACACGTGCTTTCACTCATGTAGGCATTGTTGTTAGTGGTGCTATATCTATCAGAAGTTCAATAATTAGAAATTGTACGAGACGACCGCCTTACGACCGAAGCGAAAGGAAATGAACTTACGACAATATGAGATTAATGTAAAAAATGTATCTATAATTTCACATGAATCGGTTGTATACGCATTAAAAATATCATTCCCTTGTTGTCTTATTAGAATGAGTCGGATATCGCAGTAATAGATAGCTCTGCCCATAGTAAACCATTGTAAAATTGATAGTTCAGAGCGATATTCCGCCCCGTTCTCTCCAATAATCTTATAAGACTTTATCTAAACGATCGCCACGACGCCAAGCGGTGGCGCGGGGAAACTAGTCAGAATACTGATAGTTCCGACCTATAGGAGGGACGGAGACAATAGGTTGTCCTTGTCTCACATCTTATAGGATTTTGCCTGAGTTGATAGTTTTCGATAATAGTATGTTTTATGTTTTGATTGATTTAATTTATGTCTTATTAGATAGTAGGTAGTTATAGGAATAATATATCAAAGTTTTGTATGAATCGTGTTAGTAGTTTAAGCGTAATTAAGGAAAATATTGGGAATAGTTTTTTACGAATAGTCAATAGGATATAGGTATAATTGTTGTAATAATGATGTTATTTTGTGTGTTTTTACTTCTTCTATAAAATGGTATATGATAGTTAGGCATTAAGTGAGTATAAGTAGGTTTTTTAAGACTTTTTAATTTGTAAACTTTATAGGGCCGTAGAGCTGTTGTTTGTTGATATTCTTGTAAGAAACTTGTTGTATTAGATAGATAACGCGTAGGGCTACGTAAATAAATAGGTATCACATCAATAAGTGTAAAAATGTACCGTGTAGGAGACAAAACCTATTTGTATAGAACCGTTTTCTGAGGCATGTTGCGCTCCCCACCCGGCGCGCCCGTAGCGCGCGGGTGGGGCAGCGAAGCCCCGTGGCAGGGCGAAGCCCTATGGAGGGGGAAAGTATAAATATTGCGGAGACCTATTTTTTGCGCGCCACACCTAAAATATCA